TCCAAGTTAATAACTTGAAACATTCAAAGTATAATATAGGTGGCTCCTGTTGAAATTCTCCAAAATAAAATGTATTGAGTAACGAACAAAGTCTATTGGGGAGTAATTGTTTTTTGGAAGAGGCCCGATTTATTCATCCGGTTTTTTTTTCTCACTCAGTTGTTTAAAAAATAAAAATGTGTAATCTCAGCTAAAAGTCACAGGGTGAAAAAATAACAAATAATTAAAAATCTAAATTAATTTTGCTAAAACTCTTAATTGATGTTGGTGGGCGAAACTCTTACATTCCTACACGAATCAGCCTCTAATTCCAGCTTAATGCTGCTGGGAAATGAATGAGGGGAAGTTGCGCGATGGAAATTGCTGAGTCTGAGACTCACGGTTGTATGCGTTGATGAAATGCGATGTCTCCGAGGTGTCGTAGACGAACTGAACCTTGCTAATCTTCCACACCTCGATGCCCTTGTCACGGAATTCCTGCAACACACGGGGAGACATAAACACTCACGCACACATGCGTCAAACGACGGGGAAGGTGATTTGGCCTGCGCTCGCGAAAAACTGAGTTACTCGATTTTTTAAAAAGACTTTTGTGTTGAAATCTTTGGGAAATTACCCAATTCTGATACATTTGTTAAATTTACTGGGAACGTTTCTTTTAAACCAGAACCAGTAGATTTAATTATATTTAAATCACGGGATTTGCACTAATTTTACACAGGCTTCGCGCTGTTTCTGCGTGTCAAAATAATGTAATTGGCAGCCAATTTGTGAATGCACGCATTTTCTTAAGACTTATGGGGATATTTTGGTTACATTTCATGTACTGTAGATACATTATTTTCGTTTACTCGCCTTGGAAAAGTAGATGCGGAGGATGTAGGCGTTGTTCTTCCAGGTTATGTGGATCTCTGACTCTGTGCTCCCACATTTCCCCTCGATTTCTGCGCCACGGGGGAGAGTGAACGACGCCTGCTCGGTGATCAGCTGCAAAAACATTCAGCAAGCGTCAAGGTGGCAAATAGCGGACTGAGTTTCCAATGAAAGAAAGCATTATCTGTGCGCCAGATTGCACTGTAGTGGTATATAATACAATTGCATGATTCTGAATTTTTTTTTAAAATTAATTTCAATCTCTTTTAAATGTTTCGAAAAGTTTGCTGTTATCCGTTTTTTATAACTGGACCCATAAGAGAGAGGTCAGCATTTTGCGCACAGCCGTGGGTCACAAACGCATATTTTAAATTTATCGTAGGCCTAAATTTATTTAAAGTAACTCTTTCTTCTTAACAGGAGTTTAAAGAAATCACATTGAATACAATGTAAATATTTTACATCTTAAAAATCCCGTTTCCGATGTTTCGATCCGTTTTACGCACAAACCAAAACGTTTAATTTTAAGCGGGTTTCTCTCATTCCTGAAGCATGCGTTGTATTAAAATTCAGTGGGGATTCCTTACGTCTATCCCGTTGAGTGCAAGCACGTCATATGGCACGAGGAATTTTACAGCGAACTCCACCATGAGACATGTTGTGCCGTTCTCTCGAACCGCGAAGATGGCTTTGTCTGGGTTGTTGGAGAGACCGGACAGGTTTTCACCTTCCTGCTCAGCCAGCACCACGGACAGCGCCAGCACACCTGACGACAAGAACAGAGGAGGTGAGCCTGGTGACAAATGGCTCGCAGACACACTCACGCACACATTTGGGCCACCCCTGAAAACATGCAGAATCAGCAGAATCTGCGTCGTAAACGACTGGAGTTTAAGCTGAAGCCACCTGGCATCTTTTAGATCACCTCGGTTTCTGGTGACAAAGTCAAAAACGGGTTAAAAAACCGAGAGTGAAGTCTGCAGTATCAGGGGAGCAACAGCACATCACGGACTGCAGTAAGAACAGCCTCAGGAAGTGACAAAACTACAACTCTTCTTACATTTGAAGCTCTTTTTTTCCCACCCAAATGAGGAGATAAATAATGGGTGAAATACGCCAACTCATGGAAATATAAGAACACGCGCGCACACGGAGCCAGTAGTGGCCAGACACAAGCAGTGCACGTGCACGCCCATACACTTACACACACTGCAGTAAGGAGTCACGACAGCTTCACACACACTTTCTTACCAAACACAGTGAACAGCAAAAGTCGGGCGCTCTCCGTGGTGCTGAAACCGAGACGTCCCATCGCTACCAGCTTCCCCGGAGCAGGAAAAAGAGCGGGGGCTAAGTGACTGGGCAGCCGGTGCTGAACCCGCGAAAAGAAAAGAGAGAAAGGAAGGCAGTGAGGGGAGGGAGAGAGAAAATGACAAAAAGAGAGAGCGAGAGAGAGAAATGGGGGGTGGGGAGAGAGAAAGAGAGGAGGATTGCCTCTTCTCAGCGCCAAGAAGTCACGCTCAAATCGTCGTGAATGCTGCAGGAAAGAAAAAAAAGTCTCCAGGTTGGGCGTGAGATCCGGTTTGCGCCGCAAAAGCTGCCCGGCACCGAGGAGTTCTGGCTATCCAAACCGACCTCTCCTTTCAAGGTTGACAGGCTTTAACCCAGCGACAGCCTCTGCACGTTATTAACGTCACGAAGAATGATCCCTCTTTTTTTTTTTTTTTTTTAAAGGAAAGAAAAAGTCGCTTAAGTTAAAAATGATCGCGGCATGCAGTGTCAGTTATTCCCGCAGTGCTGTGGTATCCATGTCTGTGGTAAAGCGACTGCAGGTTGGGGTTGAAATGATGGATGTCTGGAGGGAAACACCGACAAAACCTCTCCCCCTCCTCCCTCTCTCACTATCTCAAACTCCACTTGTGCAAGGTTGAAGCCAAGTGCGTTTGAGAGCGAGAGCTACAAAACGCTCATAATGAGATTATCACTCTTTCTCTGCCAAAATAAGAGGGGTGTGAACCCGGCACCGGAATCAGTACAGCGCTTAGCTTTCTCTAACTTTACACAAGGATGATTTTGAACCCACAAGATCAGAGAAAAATCTGCGCTTATTGACCTTATGGAATTAGGGCAAAGTGTGAATAAATGTTTTATGTAACACTCACTACCACAAACCTTATTGAGGGTAGATGCCACACAGACGCATAGACATCAGATTTAGACTTTATTTGATGTTAAGGTGTACTGGAAGATACAGAAAAATCTCACAGCACAACAAGCTTATGCTATACATAAATAAAACATATTGTGTATGGCACATCACCTCTTCACCTTTGATGAACACTCCACCTACTTTAAAGGGAGTGGCATATAACACCGGACAAAGTTCCAACCATATACTGACACTACAGCATGCACAGTCGTAAGGCTGCGAGGTACTACGCAAACAGTTTGATTCATTTGTACTTTAAATATGGGTGTAAATGTAAAACTTTAGTAGCATGGATTTATTGTTTCCACTCCAAACGGAGTAGAACAAAGATGAATGCGTTCTAGTAACTCTCGCGGAAATTACCGGAGTTTTGAAAGTCATGTCTAAACGATCTTTGTGGGAATCCGTTCTTAAAGTAACGCGGGCAAACACGCTTTTTAAGCGTTTGTTTTTCTCACATGAAAGTCAAACTCGCACTTGACGGAGCTGATGCTGTCGATGCTGGCTTTGCTGTCGACCTGGGGATGTTTTTTAACAGCCTGTGGAAAAGTTTCTGATCGCGGAATCCGCATTGAAAATGCCGTCGGATCCTGTTCCAGCTCTTTCGCATCCTTTTCAAACTCCGGGAAAGTAAAGCGGCGCAACATTTTGTTGCTCAATACAGAGAAAGTCGCGGCTGCAGATGAGGCAGTCGGTGCCTGGGGAGGTTCAGCCTTGCCGGGAGACCTTTCGCGCCTCCTCACGGTTCTAGATTTACGCAAAGGGACCAGAGTGCGCTCAGGAGGTGCGGGGCTGAGCATGCTGGTTGGCAGGCTGCACCTTTTCTTATAATAGCTGTCGGGAAATCTGTGTAGACCGAAGTCTAACATTTTGGTTCGTTCTGTTGCCAACTCATTCTCACTTTTGTTGGCAAGAATGGGGGTCATTAAAATGCCCAGAGCAGAGGGCGCGCTGGGTCTGTGGCTGTTTCTGCTGGGCCGAGGCGAGAACAGTGTGGATCTTTGAGCCTCACAGCCCATCGTTAGAGGGGGGAGGGGGTCATCTGAGGTGGTCGGCTTTCCCTCGGTTTTCGGATGCTTAAGGTTGGGAGAAATACAAGGACGGGGTGCAAGGGTCGAGACTTCAGAGAGGACCAGATCAGGTGGAGGCGAGGAGGCGCCTTCGTTCTCCGTTTCAAACTCCTCTATCGAGTTCATGGATGGCAACCCGCTCCGCTTTATCCGCGGGATTGGCTGCCGGGTGCAGTTTGGAGCCAATAGGCAATGAGCATGATTACACGCTCGGAGGACCTCCAGTCTGTCTGCTAAATGTCCAACCTTCTTCTCCAGCTCGCCGGGTCGCAGCTGCGCACTTCCACGAGCGCCTCCGTCCTCGCGGCCCTTTTTGGAATTGTTGGTGAGAGCGCAGATGCATTCAGTGTGACCAAGAAACTTTGCCACTCCAATAGCAGAGTTGCCAACTTTGTTTTGTCGGTCTATCTGAAGACCCAGCCTCTTGAAAGCTCTCACCAAAAACTCGACAACGTGCGCGTGACCTGCCACCGCGGCGTACATGAGCGCTGTGTTTCCCCACGAGTCTACAATCTCCGGGTCCGCGCTGTTTCGGACCAGGATCTTCACCGCGTCCAGGTGTCCCTGCTCACAGGCGTGACTGAGCGCTGTGCGCCCGTTTCCGTCCCGGCAGTTGACGCTGGCGCCTCTGTGCAGCAGGAGCTCTGCAAACTTACACCGAGCCTGGGCATCGGGCAGCAAGACAGAGGAGATGAGGGGAGTCTGTGCGCCCTCCGTTTTGGAGTCCACGATTTCCCCATCCAGCGCATCCAGAACAAACCGGGCCAGGTGGACTTTATCCTTGGAGATCGCATCCAGGAGGATCTTGGTGCCTGTTTTCCCGTTAGACTTCGCTTTTAGCATGTTTATTAGAAGATTATTATCCAATAAGTTTATTAAAATTTATTTACGAAAACTCATCTTTCTATTAGTAGAGCAGGTTTGGAAAACCTCTTTCCCCCCAACGATTGCTGACAAACAAAGCCTCCACCCTAATTTTATAGTGAAAGGGAAGCTACGGAGGAGTTGCCGGGCAACGCAAACATAATTAGCCTACCACGCTTTGTTCTTCTTTTCTAATGGAAATACTTTGTTTACAATGACATAAAAAAGAGCGTCAGCACTGGAGCCGCCTGTGTTCAAGAGAGGACCTGGCTTATCAATTCACTTGTTGAATGTGATGAGATGGCAGTGGTTATTATTTGTGGGGGGGCGTGGGTGGTGTGCTTGTGCCCTACAGTGTGCTTTAGAACACAATTATCAAATCAGAGAAGATGAATAATCCACATTACAGCCGGGAGAGTATATGGTAGCATCTGAATGAATCACATTTTCAGTGACATCATTGGTGCAGCTTCACTACAAAACTGGCAGCACGATGTTTCAGCATTCCAACTAACAAAACATGCTTACCTCACTGATATACGTCTTCCTCTGGCCTGCAGTGTTTTCTACTATCCTCGATTGTTTTTGTGCAATGTTTCTCATGTAAAACTGTAAAAAAGCTAAGCAAACAAAAGAAACTATTTTCTTTCTGCAAAGTTTCACTATGACTGCAGAAAGACTGCAGGGCTGGTGGTGGTGATAGTGTGACAGCATGTTAACATTTATGGTGCCCTCCTCAGATGAGCTGCACAAATGACTGCATGGTTGGGAGAAAATTTATTTATTTAGGTTTGGGTAACTTGGGCGCAATATTATTAGTGCTGTGTAATACTGTAAATTTAGGTATCAATCCAAAAACCAGGTAAATACAGGACCAGTGTTGCTGACGCCAATAATAATTTTAACTTATAAAGGCAGCTTATGTAGGTGAGAGCAGTGTGTCGTAACTTATGAGGAATCCACATCAATTTCCAAATTCTGAACATTAATGACACTAAATCCCTGCACTTTTTACTTTCCACTTTAGTTAATACAACAAAACACACCTTTCAGATTTTCATGTATTTTAAAACTGGAGCCCTGCGATGTAAATGTGCCCATCTTTAAAGCACTTTAGGTCGACTGCTTTTAAATGTGTTAATAATAAATAAAAAAGGCTTGATTTAGCAAAAACAGGTTCAGGCATTTTTCGTAATGAATGTTTGAGGTGTTTTTTCATTCCACCAAAAAAAGAAGATAGGATCGATACTAGTATGAATCCAATACTAATACCTGCGTTGGTATTGACACTATCGATATTTGAATCAATGCACTTTTATGTATACACTTTGCGTACTGCAAGGAAAAAGCTATTTAGTTCTTTTATATTCAAGCCCAGGCAGACAACTCTACAGCTAATATTTTGAAAACCAGGCAAGCGTAATGTCTTTATATTTATACTTACACTTTCCTATTCTAACAGACTACTCAAAGTAGCTTTAAGTAGCAAATCACAATTAACTATGATGCTTTATTCTGCTTTATCTACCTCACATCTACTATCAATTTAGAATCACTACTTATTCTAACATGCATGGCTTTGAAGGAAATCGGTGCACATAAAGGAAACAAAGGGAAAACATGCTAATCTCACTCAGCCAGCATTTGAGCCAGGAACCTTCTTGCTGCTGCACGGCAACAGTGTTAATCACTCTACTATTTAATTCAATGCAGTTCAAATTGTATTTATATAGTTCACAACAACTGTCACATCGAGGTGGTTAATATTGTAAGGTAAAGTGAGCCATCTGCCCTGGGGCATTTTGAGGGGCGGGCGGGCGGGCGGGCGGGCGGGGGGTTAAGGAGAGAGCAGACGGATACATGACAAATGACACTATGGATACGTTGGATGAACAGACGTACACGCCTGGGGAAATGTACATGGTTTTAGCAGTACTGTACTTTTCCCCCCAATTGGAAATATTCTATTTCCCTCAAATTCAACAAGGTTAGGTCAAACACAAAGAGTACGTTCTGAGGAAAACACAAATGAGCCACGTAATTATGTCCCATTTTACACCTGGATTTATTGAGACACATACTATAAAACAGTATTAAAGGAGCTGGATAACAACAGTATTTTCATTGCTATAAGTTCAACAGTACAATATAAATACAAAAACACGCACAGAATGTCTGTCGACAAGCTACAATTCAAATAGAAAATAAAGGAGATACAGTAGAAACTGAGGAAATGAAATCAGTGATGTTGCTCTGCAAAAATAATCTGCTTTTTTGACAAACTCGAGAGC